TCTACAGTGAAAAGAAGGACTGGGTTATTTACTTTGGCCTTTTTGGAAACACAGGAAGGAGCAATCAGCTAAGTGAGAATTGGCTTAGTGATTGACAAAAGGTAGAATAAATAATGGATGTCTATTCTATTAACATTTCTCTATCTGTAGAATGGGTCTGTTTTATGTGTTGTCTTCTTAATTCAGAGGGCCCCTCTGCCTGTCTTTGCCTAGGGCCCCAAATTTCCTAAATCCAGCCCTGGCTGCAGGAAATGAAAAGCTCTAAAAAGAATAAACTCTGTTTCCTGAAGAAGCTGAGAGTTTCTCCAAAGCTTTGGTCGGTCTGAGAGAGTCTCTGGTATCAACTCTGTTGCAGTATTTGCACAAACATCCAAAACAATCAAAACGGCAATATTTAAGCAACAATTATTCCTTTGAATAAAAACAAACTCGTCAAATATAATATTAACATTTTATGATGAAAATATCCCTTAAAGCACATGTAGCCCCATTTTAAAATGAATTTCTGTACCAAACTGTTTCCCAAATTGCTGAAATAGTTTTTTCTTGTTACAGAGAAAAAAGTATCATAATGTTGTTTCAGCCAGCTGACCAGCAGGAAGCAGCTCTGTGAAATCAAGCTGTTTCTCATAAATTATATCATCTTTGTTTCTGCTTTTTAAAACCTTGATGTGATTTGATGTCTGCTCATATTTACCGCCATAGAGGTCATCTTCTCACCTTCAACTCGACGCTCAGAAGGAGCAGGAGACTAAACACACTTTAACCTCTCGGTTCACGTATAAAACGCTTTCAGACGGCTCCATTAAAAATGTCATGACATTGTGATGTCTGAGCTCACCATGAAAGCAGAGGAGGTACTCCTCCTTCTGCATGCTGCTGGCCACCTGCAGGATGGCGATGGGGAAGCTGTGAGAGGAGGTGGCGAACAGGGCGGATGCCAGAGACACGTCGTTCTTGTCCAGGAACTCTGCAGGGAGCGATGCAGTGTTACCCTGCAGCCTCCCGGTCAGGTGAGCCACGTGTTTTAGCAGCGCTCTTACCTTCCAGGACGTACTGCTTCATTTCAATCTCATAGAACTTGTTGGTGCCGATTATGATGCTGTAGCTGGTCAGGTGGATGCAGCTGCAGGGCTCCAAGGTTTCAATTTCCTGTCAGTCACACAAAATAGGCACGTTTAGTGGTTCCTAGAATTTCTAAAAGTAGAATGGGAGGCAGATCTTTTAGTTATCAGGCTCCTCTCCTGTGGAACCAGCCACCAGCTTTAGTCCATTTCTAAAATGTCTGTTTTTCCTCCTCAATCCAAGAACAAATGATCTAGATTTAGATTTTTTCCAGTGTTTATCCTGCAGGAGGAACCAACCTTTACTTTAACTCTTTTCTCCTTTGAAATGCTCCCTGTTGACAGCAGCTGTTCCTGCATCAGGCCTTTTATTCCTGATTAACGGCCTCTCCTCCCACAGGTCGAGCTCACCTTGCGGATGCAGTATTTGTTCAGATTCTCATTGTAGCGCAGGATGGTTATCTTGTTCGGCATGGCAGCACATATACACGGCCCGTTGTCCACCTGTAAGCAGAACGTTTCCATGTCAGTCACCCAGAACTTAGCTTCCTCCAGTGCGTCACGCAGAGGGGCGGGGCTTACCCTTCCAGCGGCGAACAGGTGGCAACCTTTCACCGTCTCAAAGATGTAGGGAGCCAGTTCGGTCTGGCTGGGCAGGTGGGACTGAGCCAGAGACTGCTTCACCCGTTTAATCTCCACCAGACACAGCGCCCTCTCATCCCCTGCAGCGCACACACACACACATGCGTTACCAACAAAGCTGAAAACAGACAGCTCCTTAGCTTCTCAATAGTTTCAGGTCCTGATGAGCTCCTAGAATTTCTAAAAGTAGAATGGGAGGCAGATCTTTTAGTT